AAGTCCACCTGCACTCCCGTAACAGTTTCGCCATGTGGACTAGTCTGTCTCATTGTCCTCATCCGTTATGCTCTGCCCATTCACAGCCAGTGAGTCATAAGGGCCCTGAGACAGGTCTTCAAAGTCATGGCTAGTGGCAGGAGAGATGATGTCTGGACTGGTGTCACAGGACTCAGTGGTCTGTTCTGAGGTAGCAATGGTTGTGGCAGTACTTTTTGGGATTGGATCAAAGTCGTCATCTTCAAGGATGGGAGACTCGTGCACATCTGGAAAGGGGAAGGGAAGCAGGATTTGTTGCAGAATATCAGGGAGGCAGGAAAAGGCATTGGATCTATTCACTCTGTTCAGCTTTTAGTACCAGCCTGCCCACAGAACAAAACTGTTTGCTGGCCCTCAGCCTCAGCCCCCATTCGACGTATGTCCCGGCTTACTTAAAGTTACTAAGAAAATGAACGTGAAGCAGTCTACCATACAGAAATTATACTTGGACTTTTCTATTTAATGTTCATAAAAACAAACACTATTAAATACAGCATTGAAACAAAAGGTCCAAAAACGTAAAAGGCTCGGAACAAGAAAAGCATCTTTGACTGGTAATGAAAAGGACCAGTAAACCTCTGGGGTGAACAAATGGGATATTATCAAGCCTGATTGTACTCAGTTTCTTTAGTTACTCCTTTATAAAAGAGCAGCAGTGGATTCCTAAACTGTGCAGCCAGGTGGATGTGATGATCTCCAAGTTCCCGCTTTGAGTACTATTTCTGAGCCAGCTATGAAATTATTGGGCCATCCAGCCTACACTTAACTAGCTTGCTAGTCAGTATCTCATAGAATACAAATGTTTTGCTGAAATCAAGATATATCCACAGCATCTCCATAATCTACCAAGGAAGTATATATTAAATTCATTCACATATTAACAATAACTAATTGCAAGAAAACTTTGCTTATATTTACACAGTACTGAACCCCCTTCTTGTAACCTTGCTTTTTTATCCAAAATTTCTGTTAAGCAGGCTATTGTGGCTTGGTTCACACATTAAACCATAAAAAGTGGGTGTGCACATCACAGTAAGCCAGAAACATATAAATCCCATTAAGACTTAGTGTTAAGCATGGACCAAGTTATGCTGTCTTGAATACTGTTAAATAGCATTAAGCTATCTTATTCATGATTCAGCAATATCACCATTGGGAGATCTTGTATTGAAGATAATCCTACTTACTGCTAAAAGCTTCTGGGTACTGTTTTGCTAGCTTTCCTTTCAAAGTCCTGCAAGAAAGAGAAAAGAACTAACTATACCACAGTTGCAGCAAAGGGAGGGCAAAGAGGAGTGAACTGTCATTTAATAGGAAAAGAAAGCAGTATGCAAGCTTTTTTTAGAAGAGATACGCTGCAACTCCCCTTTAGTCTGTATGGACTTTCCCAAGAAACTCTGTTCTAAAGAAGGCTCAGAAACTGACAGTTAAGTTTTTGATGAAAATTTCAGAGCCTCCGAGGAGGAAATGGGGCAAGAGGAGGTTGGATGACCAAAGAGGTGGTATATGTACCTGATCCTCCGGAAAATGCTATCCAAATCTTTCTTCATCTCCACCAATGTCCGGGTGTGGTGGAGGAAGCGTTCATTCATCTGCTGCATTCGGACACCAGACAGGTTGTTAAAGTTGAGGAGCATCTCATTGGTTTTCTCAAATCGGTCAAGCCTGAACAGGAAGGCAACTGGTTGGATTAGACTGGCACAAATAATGCTGTGAACATGCCAAGGATCCTCTAACAAAAGCACTAGTGTTTGGGAATTCATCCCATTTCATTAATGGCATAGCAATATGGGTTACTCCAGGAATGTGCAACCTTTAGGGCTTCACTTGGCCTTCGGGAGGCCTACCAGGGCCCCACCCCAGCTTGTGAGTGGTGCCGTGACAAATACAAAATTACACTGAATTAAGCTACATTAAGTAAAAAGGATCAGGGTCAACTAAATTGGATTAAATATAATGTAAACATACTTTTATTCAATTAATTAAATTGTAAAAAATACATTAAGTAAACATAGTATTCTTAATCCCCATTAATAAATTTCTCTCCCTCTCTCTGTCAGATTAAAAAAAAAAACTTTGGGTTTTGGGTCTGGGGATTGCACGCAAGATCTCAGAGGGAGACTCACAGCACTAGGACTTCAGGGCATGCACCTCTCGTTTAATCTTTTCCTCTATGCATCCTCCTGAGAGGAGCAGGAATGCTCCTAGGAGGCATGTTTTGTCCTTGAGTTCCAAGTACGGAATCTAACTGCTCCAGCTGGGTGACTTTGGGCCTACCCCTTTCTCTCAGCCCAACCCACATCAGAGGGTGATTGTTGTATGGAAAACAGGAGGCGGGAGCATGATGGATGCCACCTAGCGTTGTACAAAACAAATTAAATAAAACCAACAAATAAGCAACCAAGCCTCCCTTGATGTTCCTAGTACTTAAGAAATGGATTGGGTCAACCTTTATCCTCCAGAGTCCCAAAGTTCCTCCCTTAGCCAAGCATCTGCTGCATCATTGCAAGCGCTTTTCTTTTTTTGCATCACTGTTTCCATGGGAGGGGCAACAGTTCAAAGCAGGGTTCCTCAACCTCAGTCACTTTAAGATGTGTGGACTTCAACTCCCAGAATTCCCCAGCCAGCCATGGGGTTCAGAGGAAGAGCACATGCTAGTTTTTGATTTGGTAGAAACTGCTTCCTATGTGGACTGGGCTGTTTACATTATACTGGAATGTGGGTTTGTTTCTAAAAGGTTTTCAGTAAGTGAGTACCTACTGGTTTGATAACTGGCAGGATAGCAAATGAAGGAAAAGACATAGCCAGTATGTCCTAGCCTCCTTTCTCCCCAGATGAGAACATCAAGAGAAAAGGGTAAGTAATGCAAGAAGTAAATTATCAGCTGGCAAATAGAGATTAATGACAGAGAGGAAACTTTGCTAGGGTCAGAGAAGTACACAGCTGTGGAAAAAAGTATACCACTCACATGTTCTTCTGAGCTAGGATGATGGCATTTACATCTTCTGAGTTCACCATGCTGAGCACACGGCTGCAGAAGACACCCGAGGCAGTAGGTTCCATCTTAGACGGGGACTGTAATCTGCCATATATCAGGGTGACAAGAAGGATACGAGATGGGTAAGAAAACTCCCTAGGTTTTAGGAACTAGGTGATATAACCCCTCACAATCTGAGAGAAAAACTAGCATTTATGAGAAAGAAGAAAATTTCCCCCAAAGAAAATAAGACCAGTGAGGAACTCAAGCTACACAGTGCCACAAATGGGGAAGGAGAGAAAGCCTTTTCCCAGACACTGACTTCATCAGCACCCCCTCAAGAACACACATTTTTTTCATGCCATAAATATATTTACTGATGCAGGACCTTACTGGGAAAATATGAGTAAAAGGCGCACATTCTTGCCCCTTTAGATATCCCCTGGCAGATATCTTCATGGGTGAGAAATGCAAATGCTGCTTTCCAGACTGGCTCACCACACCCACTCTATGCTAACAGACTTCTCTTCTCATTATCTGAGCTATGAGGTTTTGCTCCTGTGCTAAGTAAAAAGATCATTTTCCACAACCAATTAGGACATCTGATTCTTGAAATATTTCCCATCTCCCAAAACAGTCCTTTTTAAGACCATACTCTGCTCAGTATGGGAAATACTCCACCCTCCATTAAAGTATCCACAGTACATCACTGTCCAGCTTTTGTTTCAACACCTCCAGTGAAAGGGAGCCCAGATTTTCTCTGGTTAAACGGCTGCACTGTTGAACTGTTCTTGCTATTCACATGGTTTTCCCAAGATTCACTTGGAATCCGTCTTCCCACTACTTAAAGTCATTGTTGCCTGGCCTGCATTCTGGAACAAGGGAAAATCTTGACCTTCTTAGAATCCCAGCAGTGGAAGGAGTCAGTTTGGCCATCGAGTCCAACCTGCACCTTAGTGCAGGAATCCAAATGGAAGCATCCATAGCAGATAGCTACTTAGTCTGGGCCTCAATAGATCCAATGAAGGGCAGCCCACCATCTGACTGGGTCACTGGTTCCACTGCCAAACTAATAGTTGTTGTTGTTGTTGTTGTTGTTATTATTATTATTATTATTTATATGCTGCCCAACTCCCAGAGACTCTGGGTGGGTCTTACTCTTAGGCAGTCTTCCTAACATTCAATCAGAATGTGCCTTTGTGCAATGCATGATTCTGAGTCCATATCCTGCACTCTAGCAGTGTTTCTCAACCTCAGCAACTTGCCAACGGGTGGACCTCAACTCCCAGAATTCCCCAGCCAGCATGCTGGGGAATTCTGGAAGTTGGCTGGGGGATTCTGGGAGTTGAAGTCCACCCGTCCTCAAGTTGCTGAAGTTGAGAAACACTGCTCTAGGGCAATGGAAACCAGACCTCCCACTTGTAATATAACTCCACCAGTCTACAATAGGTACAATCTCCAGTCAGGGCTTGTGCGGAGAGTGGGGAGTATAATCCAATTTACACCCATACTCTTGGGATGATGGGAATTGTAGTCTAACTTATCCGGGAATTGCCAGACGGGGGAAGCTGCCCTCCTGGGTTAGAACACGACCTCAAGGCGGCTCCGCCCCCTTCCCTCCCGTTCCCACGCGCAGGTATCCTCTCCCCCAGAGAAGGTATGGCCACGCCTACTGCCCCTACCTGAGGGAGTGAGCCAGCCAACGGATCACATGTCGGACGCTAAAGGGGATCCGCGAGCGTGAGCGAAGACCGAGAGCGAGCGAGGAGGGGGAGACCGAAAAAGTTTCCTTCCCTCAGACCCACCACCGAACGTTACCTCCTGCCATTGACCCAGAGCAGCGCGCTCACTTCCGGGTTGGGCTGGGTCACGTAACGCGCGATCTTGCCGGCGTTTTGCGTGCCGTACGTTCGACTGCAGGGCGGGTTTCCCTGGAAACCAAGGGGCCCGTAGCACCCTCCGCTGGCCCCGCCCTTCCTCTGCTTTCATTGGACAAAATGTTGCCAGCGGGACCCGCCCCCGAACGCCCAATCGGCTGAGTTCTGAAAGGGGGGAACCGAAGGCCAGGAGGGGCCTTTAAAAGTGGCAGCGGGAGGAGAGTGCCTCTGGGAATGGGCAAAGTGCATTTCTCCGTAGACAGCAAGGTAAGCACAACTCGGCCTCAGGGTTTCTCTCTTCCAACCTGCAACGTCGATCATGATCTCTCTACGCATGTGCAGAATGCATTCTGTGCAATAAATTACAGACGCCAAGGTTTGAGCATCCAGTACGCGGAATGCATTTCTCATTACCCCATGCAGAAAAGGGTAATTGGTCTGTGCAGGGTTTTTGGGAATGCTCTGAGTGCAGCAAAGGGCATGAAGTACAGTATATTTTCGCTGCAGAGGGCAAGGCAGCCGCAAGGTGTGTTTCCCGGGATTTCAAAGAAGGACTTGTTTTCCTACCCAATAGCAGAACCAGACGCGTAGAACTCCTAGAAACGTGCAGAGTGCAACCCTTGTATATAGTGGGATAAACACAACTCGTTTTCGGGGTTTCTGGGCATGCACAGAATGTAGGCTTCCTTCCCAGACGGTAGGATGGCTGTTGCTGTCCTGCAGGTCCTTGAGATGTATTCCTCCAGCAGCTGGACCTGCAGCGGGCATGACTGGGTTTACTGAAAAGTAATCCAAGGCTTGTTTTCCGAATAGTAAACATATTCTGTTGAAGATCTGGTAGGTGTGCATGTAAGGGTGTCCATTAGGTTTTCTATCAGGTATATTATTGTCTAGCAAATGTTGCCACAGGGTTCCCACATTGTATATAGTAAGCTGTGGTTTTGTTAACAGCATGCTAAGGCATACAACCAAACTGCATTGTGGCAGATGTGTCTCACACATGCAGTGTGTAAATCCAGCTGCTGTGCCACTACTCGCCTATTGAATCAGATCTTCAGCAAAGGGTCTCCTTTCACTGCCCCCTTCAAGAAAGAGCCTTCTTAATGATGATGCCCCGCTTCTGGAAAGTTCTCCCTAAAGACAATTGCTTAGTGACTAACTCATTGCCTTCACAGTGAGAAGACCATTGATTTTCCTGAGTTTTTAAAATGCAATGTTTATTCCACCAGGTATTTTATGCCACTATTCTAATTCGTAGCTTTGGGGAGGAATTTTTTGGGGGGTGTTGTTTTCATTTTAACTTTTATTATTTTTCTAACCCTTTCCTAGGAATATCACTGAAATATAAAAATACTGACAATAAAAAAATGAATCCATTGGGGTTCAGAGTTCTCCCTTTCTATTATGGCAGCAATTTTTGCAACATTTTTCTTTTGCAAAAGTGTTTTGCAACATTTTTCTTCCCACATAAGAGAAAAGTTAATATTTGACAGTATTTGAACATCTCCAAATGCTTGCTTTTGGCCAGGCATTACTCACTTTTTCATAGTCCTTGCATGTTTTGTTAAATATACACAGTGAGAGTAATCATAGTGTTGGAGTCTGTTAACAGTTAATGCTTAACTTTAGGCTGTGCTGAGTAATCCTGAGTGTGCATTCTAGCTGGCTGGGTGGGTGTTAAAACATTTCCTTCCAAGTTCAGAACGAAAGTTATTCTTGTCAAGTAAGATCCAAAAGGCATGAAAACAATCTCCCCTCCCTTTAACTAGTTATCCTACAGCTATTACTTGGAAGTAAAATGCCTCTGAGTGGGAAGACTCCATTGTGGTCCATAGTTAGCAATCTAAAACAAAGAAAATAAATTGCTGGAGCTATTTAATATCTAATTAAGAACTATGTGATTTACCATTTTTCTCACTCTGTACAAGGTTTTTACCATTGTTCTGAATGTTAATAATTAAACTCATCTTTGGGGTATAAAATCAACCATTAGTCAACTCAGTACCAAGAATTTTTTGACCCAGAGAAGACTGGTTTCTCTCCTCTCTCTTTTTCTTTTCCCAACATGGAATCCTTCTGCCTTCCCTATTGCTCCTTGTCTAGATTTGGCTAGAATTCATGGAGCTGCCTTCACAACAGCCCTGTAAGGTAGGCAGATAGGATTATTCCATCAGATCCGGCAAGAGAGGCATGTTATGGTTCCTGTCTACTAGGGAATGTCATCTGATGGGACCCAGGAAGAGAGCCTTTTCTGCCATGGCACCCACCTTTGCAACATCATTCTCCCAGAACTTAGATTGGCCCTGACCCTTCTGGGTTTTAGGAAAGACCTGAAAACATGGCTGTGCCACCGCACTTGGGGTCCAGTGGTAGTGGTCAACCTTTCCAATGGTTATATTAAATGGGATGTATCGCTTGTATTCACCTGCTAACCGCGATTATGTTTTATGTTGAATTGAGTTTTTAATAGTGGTTTTAGTACGGTTGTATGTTTGGTGTTTTTATTCATATTTTTATTGTTCTCACTGTTGTTTTTAATTGCTGTGAGCTGCCCAGGGTCACATGTGAGATGAGTGGCTATACAAATCGAATAAATAAATTTTAAAAAATACATTCCTACAGTTCACTTAGTTTTCATAAGACCTAAAGATGCAGTTTAAAAAGAAAGCCTACCCTTGGTGGTCCTTTCCCCAGTTCCATTTCTGAAAACTCTTACAATTGTAAGTTGAGTGGGTGTGAGTGATTTTAAAATAGTTCATTGTGGCTTCTGTCCTGCTTTTCCAGGGAATGCATTCATAGCGGCTTCTGAAATGACGATAAAATACTTGTAAATAAAACAAAAGGACATGTAGATCAGAAACAAAAAAGGACATACAGTACTGTATTAAAGATCCCAACAGAATAATACAAAATCAAGCATGAAAATAAAATATTTAACCCAGAGCTTAAAAGTAGCAACGCTTCAGCTTATTCCCCCACATGTTTGATGTGACCAAGGTAGGGTTGTGATAAAATAATGGACCTTCCCCCAGAATTTCTTAGTTTCACTCCATGTGTGTTCCTGTCCCTTTAACAGGCGTAGGTGGCAGAAGGAAGGGAAGGCTGTGACTATCAGTCTTTGAGTAACAGCTGGGAGGGCCAATAGCATTGATTTCCTGTGGGCACTGGAGGCACTCTGGGGAACTGGGGGGGCGGGGCTGAAACTGGATAATTCCTGAGTCCAGGTGAGTCTATTGAAGGGGAGTGGGGGGAATGCTATACTGTAAGGACATCCGAATTAATCAGTGCAGTTGCTGGGTGGTGATGAGTGGAAAGAGAAGCTGCTCAGCTTTTTTTGCAAAATGTGGGGAACAATCCTGTTTTGCTTTCCCCTTCCCACTTTTAAACTTTCAGGTCTTTTCAGGGTGGGGGATAAGGCTTGGTTTCTTAAGTTGAAAGTCTGATCCATCCTTCTGTGCATTATGGAGAGAGGGGAAAAGAACATCTGGAGCTGGTGTTAGGAACACTCAGTTTTAACTTTTTCCTCCTTTGCGTTATCAGGTTAAAATCTGACCCCGGGAGGCTGGCCACGGACGTGGGGGTTGTTATTTAAGGCCAGCCCATGTTACTTCTCCTCTGCTTTGCCCCGGAAGCTTCTTTTCAATCGGTACCAATCTTCCTTCCTTTTTCGTTTTCTTTGGTGTGGGAGTCTGCCTCTTCTCCCTTCCCATTTTATTGATTGTCAGGCCAAATAAACACAAAAGTTGTGATGTGGCTGGTTTGAGTGGCCAAAAGTCAAGTTGATCAGTTGGTCCCTGCACAATTCTGCTGCTGTAAGTCTCCCCATCCTTGAGATGGTAAGAGATCCTTAGTGGCTTTGGCAAAAAATCAAGAGTCCAGCAGCACCTGTTCTGACTCACAAATTTTATTAAAAGGCATCAGCTGTCATAAGCTGCAGCTCGCTTCATCAGACACAGCTCATGAAAGCCAGTGCTTTTTAATAAAAGGTGCTAGTTGGAAAAGGTGCTATCAGACTCCTGGTTTTTTGCCCCATAGCCTCACACAGCTGTCCTCCTACACCAGTGTTTCTCCAACTTGACAACTTTAAGATGCGTGGACTTCAACTCCCAGAATTCCCCAGCCAGCATGCTGGCTGGGGA